ACCTATGAATAAATTTAATCAAGACAAAGACTTGTGCATTAAAGACTAGAAAACATTGCTGAAAGCAATTAAAGAAAACTAAATAAAGAGAAAAGCATTCCATGTTCATGAACTGAAGAACTTAACATTATTAACATGGCAATACTCTTCTAAGCAACAATACGATACAGGCCTTATCAAAATATGTACAATTACTATTTGTCGACTTTTAAAAAGAGAAAAATAAGACAAACAACCCAACTAAAAATTAGGCAATAGAGATTCGACCTAAGAAGAAATGCTAAGCACATGAAAAGATGCTCACATCCTCCATCATCAGGGGATGCACCCACACCACAGATCAGCTACAATCCTAGAGAGTGACCACACCAAGCGTGGGAGGGATTTGGAGAAACCAAACCTTCATACACCACTGGTGGATATGAAAATGGAACTGTTATTTTTTGTTTGTTTGTTTGTTTTGTTTTGAGACAGAGTCTCACTATGTCACCCTCTGTAGAGTGCTATGGTGTCACAGCTCACAGCAACCTCAAACTCTTGGGCTTAAGCAATTCTCTTGCCTCAGCCTCCCAAGTAGCTTGGAGTACAGGCGCCTGCCACAATACATGGCTTTTTTTTTTTTATCATTATTGTTGCAGGTATCGTTGTTTAGCTGGCCTGGGACAGGTTTGAATCCACCAGCCTGGGTGTATGAGGCCAGTGCCCTACCCACTGAGCTATGGGCACTACCCAAACGGCTCTTTTTGGAAAATGGTTTGGCAGTTTCCTAAAAAATTAAATATATACCTTCCATAATATTCACAGATTCCACTCAAGGCATCCAGTCAAGAGAAATGAAAACACATCTCAACACAAAGAACACATCTTCACCTAACATCATTCATTGTTCTTGACACAATTCTAAAGTACAACAACAGTGAATGGATAAGAAATTGAAGCACATCTGAATAACAGATCACTGCTTAGAACTTAGAAGGAACAATCCACAGATCATGCTGTAGCCTAAAGAAACCTCAAAAATATTGTGCTAAGTAAAAGAACACAGACACAAAAGACCCCCTATTGTATGATCCCATATATATAAAATTTCCAGAAAAGGCAAATCTTTAGACACAGTAACAGATCAGCAGTTGCCTTGGGTTCAGAGTGAGAGCAAATAATTAATGAAAATAGGAATGAAGAAACTTTTTAGGGTGATGTAAATTTTCTAAAACTGGAATATTCTGATGGTTGCACAGTGCTACTGTTTACTAAAAACTACCAAATTGTATGCTTAAAATGAGTGAATTTTATTATATATAAGTTCTACCTCAATAAAGCTATTTTAAATACAGTTTTTTAAAATTCCAATAGTCATTTCTCCAGAATGAAAAAGCCAATCCTCAAATTTATACAGAACTGCAAAGAGCCCCAAACAGCCAAAATAGTCATACAAAAGAAGAAAGTCAGAGAACTTACACTTTCTAATTTCAAAACTGACTACAAATGCACAACACTGAAACAAGTTGCTACTTGCATATACACACAGATCAGTGGAACAGAATTGAGAGTTCAGACACCAACCTGAACAACTATCATAAACTCAATTTCAATAATTATATCGGGACCATTCAATGGGGAAAGAATAGTCCCTTTAAAAAAGAGGAAAGTAAATAATTGAATGCAAAAGGATTAAGTAGAACCTTTTCAGGAGTGTCCAATCTGCTGCACACAGCCACGTGTAGACTATTTGAGGCCTGCTTTGCTTATCTGCTGTGCAGAGCCACATGCAGACTATTTGAGCCCTGTTTTGCTTATCTGCAGTGTTGGATGTTGTAAAAAGGATGCACTGATCTTCTTCTTTGCTCATCAGCTTTTGTTAGTGTTTGTGTTTGTAAAGTGTGGCCCACTCCATCTCTTCTTCTCCCAAGGTGTGGCAGAAAAATGAAAAGGTTGGACACCCCTGTATCCTAGTTCATACCCCAAAATTAAATAAAAATATATAAAAGATATAAAAGGAAAAGCTAAAACTATATGACTTATAGGAAAAAACAGGTGTAAACCCTCATGACCTCAAATTTGACAATGAATTCTTAAATTTAACACCAAGTGCACAAGGAGCAAAAGAAAAATAGATAAACTGGACTTCATAAAATTAAAGTCTGTTGTGTATCAAAGGACATTCTTAAGAATGTGAAAATAAAACCTGTAGAATGAGATAAAACATCTGCAAATCATCTATCTGATATGATTTTAGTATCTAGACTATATAAAGATAATATACACAATAATATAGTAATATTGTGTTGATAATATAAAATATTAATAGATCTAGTCTTTAAACAGTGGTATTTTAATAAAAATTAAAAACAACCCAATTAAAAATGGGCAAAAAATTTGAATAGACCTTTCTTCCAAGAAAATATACAAATGGCCAATAAGCATATAAAAAGATGCTCAACATGACTGATCAATAAGAAAATGCGAATGGACTCAACAAGATACCATTTCATATTCACTAAGAATGGTTTTTTTAATCAAGAAAACTAAAAATAACAAAGGTTGATAAGGATGACGTGAGAAAGAAGAACTCTTGTGCATTGCTGGAAGGATGTAAAATGGCACAGGTATCCTGGAAAACTGTCAATTCTTCAAACATATTAAACACAGAATTACCATATGATGCAGCAAATTCTCCTCCTAGGTATGCTAAAGAGAAACAAAGATATATGTCTATACAGAAAATTGTACATGATGCTTATAGCAGCACTAGAGACAATAACCAAAAGATTAAAAAAAAAAAACTCATCAATAGATCAATGGATAAACAGATTGTGGTATATCCATACAATGGAGGACTATTCAGCCCTAAACAGGAACAAACTTGTGATACATGCTACAACTTAGATGAACCACAGGAACACCTTGCTAAGTGGAAGACAACAAACACACAAGTAGATGCACATGATTCCTTTTATATCATATATCCAGAATAGGAAAGTCCGTGGAGGCAGAGAGTCAAGGGGAAGTGTTGAGAGAATTGGGATGAGGGATGATAGGGAATATCTACTCAACCAGTAGGAGATGAGAAATTTTTGCAATTAGAGAGATCTGGTCATTGTATAATATTATGAATGCAACAAAATGCCACTGAATTGTATGGTTTAAAGTGGTTAACTGTATGCTATGTGAATTTCACTTCAATTTAAAAAAAGACAAAAAAATTAAAATAGTAATCAATTTAATAAAATAAGTGCATCTAAAACTTGTAGACCAAAAACTACAAATTATCATTGAAAGAAAATTAAAGAATGTCTAAATAAAAGAAGCCCCATGTTCACAGGATGAGAAAGATGAAACTTGTCAAGATGGCAATACTCCACAAATTGATTCAGTGCATCCCTACCAAAATCCCAGCTGGCATTTTTTGCAGAAATTGACAAGTTAATTCTGAAATTGATATGAAATTCAAGAGATTTAGAAAAGCCAAAATAATTGTGTAAAGATCAGTGCTAGAAGATTCACACTTTCCAATTTGGAAAGTTACCACAAAGCTAAGAGAGTGAGGTCCTGGTATGACAGACATATGAACCAATGAGACAGAATTGAGAATCCAGAAATCAACCTGCACCTCTATGGTACCAATTTTCAATAAAGGTGCCAATAATAACAGTGGGAAATAATACTCTTTTGTGACACGTCTTTATGACATTAGATTAGGCAATACTTTCTTCTTAGACACCAAAAATACATTAATGACGGCAGGATTCTGGACATGTAATTCTCAATGTGCTGCACAGAATATTTCTAGACCCGAACAATACCAAGAGACAAGGGAGATGGACTTAAAGATGGGCCCTGTCCCTGAGGTCCAGTGAGGACAGGGTGGAAGCAGTGGGGAAGTCACTCACTAGAGCACAGTGGGAGGACAGCTTTGCGTGTCTCCAGGCACAGTGCTCAAACCACACATTCTGAGATCTGACAAACTCTTCACCTAATTTTACAGGACATTGTTCTAAAGTTGGCTTTATCCAGTTTTCCAGAAAAATAGGACAAATGACTCTAAATCTGTATGTATGTACAAATTAAAACTGAAGATGTAATATATTTCATAAAACCTTTCCAGACCAAACAGGTACTTTTGAACAATTTGTAATGTTTATTTTGTTTTGGTTTTGACTTGTTTATTGCTTTTGTCTTTATGTTTTTCACTACATTCAAGAATTTGGTGGAAAATTCTAATTTTTTCTATATTTAAGGAAAAAAAAGATTAAGAACACAAAAACTCCAGAATCACTCACCATTACAAATTTCACTCCCACTCCATTCTAGAATGGCATAGCCCTGTCTCTACCTACAGTTCTTCCTGTATATAATTTACTGAAAGAAGACAAATTCCTTGAATATTTGTTTTGAAAATGCTAGTATTACCACTATAATTGCCATGATAGTCTAATTAATTTTTAAATTAAAAAACAAAGAGAATGATAGGGCAAGTCTTTAAATATTGCTTAATATTTCTTTAATGAGAAAAAAATAACTAAACAGACGGAAATGTTTGGCTAAGCCATTAAGATGGGTCAGTCACAGAGGCATGGTATGTATGAAGAATCGCTGTTAATTCTCACTTCTCCTATTTCTATATTTAGCTCCAAAATTAAGGATGTTTACTAATCTTGTGGTTCAAGTTATAAGATAGATTATGTAACTAAAAATAGTGGATTTTAAATGTCAATCCTCAGCAATGGTACTCATTTAGTTGGATAACAATTTTTAGTAACTTTTTTTAATGGGTGGATAACAATTTTTATCAACTTTCATTAAATGGCTGCCTAATACACCTTTATATACACAATCCATTTTTATACAAAGACAGACATGCAGATTTCAGATATTCAGTGGTCAACAGAATCTCGCTCAGTGTTTTTGTCAAAAACCTTGTATTGAAATGTGATTTTCATAAATAAAGGTTGTCATTGGCACAGAGATGACTTCCAAGAAGACCCAGACCGTCCACTCACCTTGGGGCGCTATCAGAGTCCTTCCATTCTCCTGACACCAACCAACCGGCTGCACATAAGGACTGGTAACATCACACCTGCAAACACAGGATTCTATTTCAGATCCCACATTACTCAGCGCCAGAGAGAGAATCCAAGAGTCCTGATCGTTCTGGATTTCAAGAGATACTATGGAAATAGAACTTCATAACTAAAGAGAATTAGAAGTAATTTTCTGTATTTCTGAGGCTGAGTGACCAAACTGCTCTTATATAATTTTCTTGAGATTATTAAAGTATAAAATAAAGGTGGGTTTGACAAGGACCTGAATCACAGGCAACGTCCCCAAAAGTGACCATTTCAGTAAATCTCTTCTCCCAGGGCTTGCTAGCAGCAGTGGAAAATATGAACAGGGCAGTCCAATCAGACCCCAGGTGACTACCCTGCCCTCCCTCTCCTTGTTAAGAACCCAACACATTATACCTAAGACACATACAGCAATTACTCTCTGCTCTTAGTTCAAAGGCAAAGCCCCGGCCCCAACATGCACACAAAGAACCACTGCCTCAGGCAGGGATTGTCCATCATTCAGGACGTGTGAAGAAATGCTACAAAAATGATTTTTTTACCATGACCTTCCGTATTTCAGGTTTTCATCCAAAAAAACCCTTTCACCCTGAGCAGTGTTAGTTTAATGGCATCTTGGCATACATTTTCTCTGCTCCCTGCAGGCTTTTGGAGGATTCTCTCCCATTCTCCCAGAATCTTTCCTTTTAAAAATGTGACAAGCTGAGTTCGACATTTTTCAGATAAAAAAGTACTGGAAGTTCTTAACCTCCTCTTCACAGAAATGTTTCCTTTACAAACTAGCCAGAATACAGTGAAGCGTCCTGAGCTGGTCATATTTTTTCAGACGAGGCCTCATTAGGTGACGTCTCGTAAAATGGCAAAAAAGTTTCTGGGGCTTTTTAATTCACCAAGTCACGAGCAAGAGAAGACAGTGAAGAGTCACACGAAATTCCTGATGTTCGTCACGATTAGGACAGCAGTAACAGCAACAGCCCGAGAATGAAAATACATTCTCAACACCAAATATGTGAGCACACACAAATAAAACCCAGGCCAGTGTCTCACCAGTAATCGTAACTATCATCCCAGTTGTCAAAATGCACCAGTACGCGGTCTCCGACAATATCGGCTATGGTCGCCACACACACCAAGGCAGGGTTCTTCCTGTCCATGGCCTCCAGCTTCATTCCAACCTGAAATTCCTTAGGCACTGGCCCGTTCTAACACAACACAAGGAAGAGGCATAACAAATAAATAAATAAATAACAGGACAGCAAACAGGACTGAGCCACTGTCGAAACTTCCAAGACGTTCAGCATCACCGAAGTGTACAGGGTGCCAACACCTACCCTCGGGAACGATGCCAGCAAACGCCAGCACAAATACCCAGCAACTGCCACGGAGTGTGTATTTACGGCAAAGACCCAAGAAACTACCTTCCCGCTGTACTTTTCTCTTTGGTTGTTCAGGGTGTTTTCTCTCCCTTATCATCGTCATTCTTCCCTCTCTGATGCTCAGAATAATTGATATTAAATTAAGAAATGCTGTTCATTGAATACAGTAGTATCAAATAATTTTCTCTGCTTCTCCTAGGCTTTCACATAGTTTCTGAATATACTATTCAAAGAGGTGGTAAAGATGTCCTGTTTAGTACACGAGTTTCATTTAATTTGATTACTAAAGAACACGTGCACTAATCATGAATAAAACTATAACTATAAAAACGCAAATGCTTTTTGTATTATCTGTACTTTTTAAGTGTAAAATATACCATGAACTATGATTTACGATGACATAATTATAAAACCCACTCTTCAGGGAGCCATATTAGCCATGCCCGGGACTTAGGAAGTATCACACAGCATCTGAGCCCCGCTGCTCCTCCATCCATGTGGAGCCCCGATTTCTATTTCCCTCCAGCATACTCTAGTTTTAAAGCAGATGCAGTTTTGCGGCTCCTTTTTCCTGACACAGTTCTGTGAAGCACACGTAACGACTGCATGACACTGATTTTAAGATCTCAAAAGTGAGGTCCGCAGGAACTCAGTGAGCGGCCTGTGCAGTGACCCCAGAAGGTGGCAGAGCTGACTCCTGCCCGGGTCATCCACACGGCCCTCCCTGCAGCCTGCCAGCCTCTCTGCTGTCCTCCAAGAGCACCTAAGAGGAATCGGGATCTGACTTATTCTCCTCCTCTACTCAAGGTTCATTAAGTTGCTAAAGACACAGACAGCATAAGGGACGCGCTCTACCCAAATCACCAGGACACGCCTCTAATCTACGTGAAACGTTACTCTCATTTTTATTCCACTTGAATATGTCTAGGCTGGGAGCATTCAATGTCATCCAGGAGTATCTACTGGTTTCAAAACTACTAAGGTTCCAGAACTCACTGGAAGCAAAAAGGAAAAAGATTTCTTTAAGGTATTTTAAGTCTTAAATACCTTTAAATAGGCTTTAAACATAAAGTTTTCAACTTTTCTCAAGTTGAAGTATTTAATTGTACTTTTAAAGAAAAAAAGAGCTATGCCCACAGGCAACTGCGACAAATTTAAGAGAAGTCTTAGAACGTTAAGAGTTTCTATAATTTCTTAAAGGATGAAAATACAACAGAATATATATATAGTGAACTTTTAAGAAATTTAAGCTTGGGGGAAATCTGATTTATACTGAGGAGGAAAATACTTACAGAACTTCTGTTTCTGAATAATTTCTTGGGAGCATTTTGCAATTTGCAGGCCTTCAAGTAATCCATCCAAACAAATTTATCTTTTCTATAACCTAAAAAAAGTACAGATTACTCAAAATACCCATAAGATGTAACCACATACATATTAAATATATCATTATTATTCACTCTTCTGCCATGAATTCTATGTCCTTAAAGGACCACAAAAAATGTAAATTAAGATCTCTAAATTGTTTCAACTTTTAAAAAATGTGTTAAGCTCAAACGTGTTGATAGTGAGTCTCTATCATGTACACCATTCCCTACAAACATGAATGTTCTGTGACATGGAATTGGTACCCAGGTGGCTTGATGGGCAAAGGGCTGACACCTGAGCCCCTGTGCCTGTCCCCACTCCTGAGGAGCCCATGTCACACAGGAGACCCTCAGAGGTCCTGGTGGAGTGGCATTTCAGGGCCTCTGGGCACTGGGGGAAATTACTGAAATTCTGCTACAATCCAAAGAACATTCAACAGCTCCAGCTTTCTGCTGTATATCTTCACAAATTTCCCATTTTAAATTTATTAATTTGAGTTCTCTGTAGATCCTAGTTATCAGCTTTTGTTTGAATCAAAATATGCAAATATCCTTTCCCAGTGTGAAGGTTGTCTGTTTGCTTTGGTTGTTGTCACCTTTTCAGTTTCATTAAATCCCATTTGTTTATTTTTGTTGTTGTTGCAATTGCCACAGAAGTCTTCCTCACAAAATCCTTCCCCAGGTTGATAGCTTCCAATGTTTTTCCCACACTTTCTTTGAGAATTTTAATTGTTTTGTGGCTTAGACTAAGGCCTTTTATTCATCTTGAATCAATTTTTGTGAGCAGAGAAAGGTGAGGATTCAGTTTTAGTCTTTTACATGTGGATATCCAGTTCTCCCAGCACCATTTATTGCATAGGGAGTCTTTCCCCCAGTGTATATCCTTGATGATCAAAGATTAGGTGACTGTTAGGTATTTGTTTCATCTCCAGTTTTCTCTTCAGTTAGAGAAATGCAAATCAAAACCACCCTGAGATATCATCTAACCCCAGCAAGAATGGCCCAAATCACAAAGTCTCAAAACTACAGATGCTGGCATGGGATGTAGAGAGAGGGGAACACTTTTACACTGCTGGTGAGACTGGAAACTAATACAACATTTTTGGAAGGCAGTATGGAAAACCCTCAAGAGCTCAAGCTAGACCTCCCATATTTGGTCCTGCAATCCCATTACTGGACATCTACCCAAAAGAAAAAAAAAAAGCCTTTTACCACTGGGACACTTGCACTAGACTGTTTATTGCAGCTCAATTTACAATCTCCAAAATGTGAAAACAGCCTAAATGCCCACCAACCTAGGAATGGATTAACAAGCTGTGGTATATTTATACCATGGAATACTATTCAGCCACTAAAAAAAGATGGACACTTTACAGCCCTTGTATTAACCTGGATGGACATGGAACACATTATTCTTAGTGAAGCATCACAAGAATGGAGAAGCATGAATCCTATGTACTCAATTCTGATCTGAGGACAATTAAGTTCCTAGTACACTCTGGGGGATGGGGGTAAGAGAAAGGGAAGGAAGGAGGGGTGGAGGACAAGGGGTGTGGTAGACCATTTGGGGGCTGGACACAATTATAAGGGGGTCCTTATCTAACAAAAGCATCAGTGTAACCTAACCCAGTTTTGTGTACCCTCAATGAACCCCCAATAATAATAATTTTTAAAAGTTCCCATTTTAAGCCTTATCCTCCCATTCACATGCCCATTTAATGTGACTCTCATGCAGTGCGGGCTCAATAAATGTTTTCTTACTGAGTGTCACTCTTAGGACAGTCAAAGCGCCTGCCGGCAGCCACTTCTCACTTCCCCACCTTCGTGCCCTGGCTTCTCTGCTCACCCTCAGCCCCAGCACGCTCCCTCCGTGCACCCCACGGCGTCCCTCCTGCTTTCCCTCTGCTGGTGCTCTGGCCCAGACAGCCACACTGCTTCCTCTCTCCCGCTTCCCACAAGTCTCTGTGTGATGGTGTCTTTACCATGCTGGTGACCACTGGCCCCTCCACTGCCCTCCTCCTCCTCAGCAAGGCCCACTGCACACTGTTGGTTTTGCTCACCTTCCCTCCCCCTGCCTGCCCACTGTAGAGGCTGCACAAATACCTACTGAATGGGCCGGCCTATCTCCAGCCACCAGCTCCCTCGAAATCCAGCAATCTCAAGCGACTCTGCCATCAGCCTTTGAGACAGATCTCAAGGGACACCTTGGGTCAATTACAAAGAATAAAAGGATTCCAGAAGTTGCCTCAGTCGTTAAATTGGAGGCAGGATACAGAAGTTTGCTGTGCAAAGAAATGGACCCATTGGCATCACCTGTGACCACACCCTCACCTCACTTGCCTAAAGCAAATAAAAAAGGCTTCAGTCACACCTCGTTGGCCCAGGTTCCTCTCACGTAACTAAAGATGAGATTTTTCTTTCCCATCGAAAGAAAACAGTGATTTTTTTTCTTTGCTCCATTTTTCCCATGATTCTTAAATTTAAAACAAATTATTTATAATGAACCAAGTTTGCTCACTGTGCAGCACAACTGATTGAGATATGTCATTTCACCCACGATTCAAACATGGGTTTTCACTCTCTGTAATGTTTAATACACTTCACATAAAACATGAGGCTATTTCTTTCCGAGGTACCTTATCAGACTATTTGACCTAAACACTCATTGACACTTTTCTTTTTAAGATATTTATTTCTAAAACCAATATCATTATAGTCTTACTACTCTTTGTGAATCAAACTTTCATTTTGGAAATCAATTCACACCAAGCTCTTGTGTTAGTATTTCATGAAATGGTGTTAAAATAAAAACAACTGGCTCTCTTTCCAGTCGGTAAATGCATCCTGGCTTACCCTTAGGGATGTGCAATTCATGTTTGGTCTTTTCACACCAGCCTACAGGATGAATGTCAGGGGAACCTGCATTGGTCCAAAAATCATAGCAACTTAAATAACCATCAAAATGAAGTCTTAGACGGTAGCCACACACCTGCAAAATGGAAAGTTTGCAATCATTCATTAAGGGTCATGAAATTCAGGGTCACAAAATTCAGAAAATATTCATATTTTTATTGAGACCATCAACAGATAGAGCCAGTCCTTCCACCCCGATGTTTTCATTAGGGAACAAAGTCATGGACAGCCATCCAATGAAGACAAAAGGGTGATGAACTAGACACTAACGGGATCTAGAAGTTTCCTGCAAACAAGTTACCCTTGTACACAACCTAGGAATCTGAGGCCAATTTATATATATGTATATCCATTAATTGAGTAGTTTATTTATTAATTCAATATATGTCAAATATTCCTTTCAGAAACCCTATGTCCTGCTGTTTGTTTTGAATTCATATTCTAAGACTATGTAAACTCAAGTACCATGCAAGACTAAAATGGTACAGCCTTGTTTCAACTACCTTATGTGTCCAGCATCCTCAATAAAGACAATCATTTTACACGTCATGAGTTGTTCAAAACAGCCAAAAAGCAAAAAATGAAAAGGAAAGAAAAATAAAACAGTCTGAGGAAAACATCCTCTAGACACACAGTACACATTTAATAACAATAATCAATCAGTATAGCAAATAAATGTGACTTGATGTCAGTGCTATTAGAAATGGAGATCTTTTATTTAATAATGTTTAGTAAATATTACATTTTATAAACCATTCATTTTCATCAATGGCTGCCAATTTACATAAATGCATGCCTTTATATAAATATATAATTCATATGCATGACATTATTCATATATATTTCTCACTAATTCAACTAAAACATTAATAATTATGTCTCTGTTAACAGGTTGAAAACAACATTGTGAGATTCACAGACTGTTATCAACCTCAGGCAAAAACTATTTACCAATTAAGTCAGGAGTAAATGATAGTTGATGAAGGACTTATTAGAAAATTCATCTTCAGAGAAGGGAAAAAAATCATTAAGAAACATAGCTTCATCCATCATTGACTAAAATAAATCCATAATGGGCTGGAATTTGTTTATGATACAAAGTACACAAATTTGTTATTCTCGGGAAAATTATCTTTCTGTCACTGTGCAATTAGCCCAAGACACTATCTCTTACCTCAGCTACAGAAAGCACGCAGAATACAGACGGATGTCGGGGATCAACACCCTCTAATCGCATTCCGATCTGAAAACCATTTTCATGCTCTGGAAAGGACTGATCCTACAAAATTTCATGATAGAACATTAGCCACCGAGATTTCTTCCCAATGTTACATTAAAACATTTGGTGTCAGCCCTATGTGAAATATAAAACAACCCGGGGCTGGGATGGAGGCACAGGGAGCGGCTGGTCAAAGGCTCAAAGCTGCAGTGAGGAGGAACGAATGGTGAGCATTCAAGGTGATGGGTGTGTTACTTAGCTTGACTAAACCATTCCATACTGTACATATATGTCATAACATCACTGTGTGCTCCATAATTATGTCAAAAAGATGAAATATAATAAATCTTTTAAAGGATTATTTACTGTACAGTTTTCTAGCTAAAGGGAGAAGGCTGCCCTTAGACACATTCATAATTGGCCCTCAAATATGCTTTGATCATTTTAATATGCTTTGAAATAGCTCATCTATCAGGTTCCCATTTACTCACTTTGCTCCCTTCGGTTACAGCGACTCTGCTGTTTCACTCTGGTCAAATCACTCTATGGTTCCCACAGTCTGCGCACCAGGCTGGGAAATCCTTCCTAACCCTGACCTACCCCGATGTTCTCCTAGTACTTTCTTAAACTATTGAAGTTTTATTCTTCATATAAACCAATAGTGCAATTCAAATTAATTTTTCTATGAAATGAGGTAGAGGCTTTTTTTTCTCCATATGAAAAATAAATTATACAGGAAAATGTGTTTAAATAATCCATACTTGAATTGACAGTCCCCTTTGCCAAATATGGTTTCAGCATTATTTGCAGGCCTATTTCTGCCCCTTTGGTCAGTTTCATTGACTTACTATCCTACATCAGACGGCTTTGTTTGATTATAAGTCTTCCAATCTGGACAGTAATCATCAACGTATTGAACATTTTAATTTAGAAACCTGTTCTCTCTCCATCTAATCTCTCCAAAAATGATGAACTCATCATTTTTGTCAAAGGCGTTTTTCCCATTTTCACATCGGATTTTGTATTTTGGGTACTTTGTAATTTTTATTGCTACTGTCTATGGAATTTTTTATGAGACTTTCTAATCTGTTCACAGTCATTATTTTCTTTAATACTGCTATTGTTTCCCACAACCTTGCTGAATTCTCATTAGTTTAGAGCAGACACTTTTAAACAGATTCGGCATTACTAGTCATATTCTTAACTGCAAATAAACTTAGTAAGCAATATTCTTAATTGCAAATAAACTCGTACTAATAGAAAATGATGACTAAAACTAGTTCTGTTAAATCTAGCACTGCTTTTTCAATCACTAATTATATTAATATTAAATAATGCTTAATACTTGAATGCTTATTTTTAGAGTGAAATTGATCCTGTAAATTTCTTTTTATTTGGGAACAACGTCAAACTTAAAAGTTGCAAGAACAAAACAATTCAGAGAATGAGCACGTATTTTTTGCCCAGACCCATTCACTGCTGCCATCTCACTTGGTCTGCTTTAACATCTCGACTCACTTCCTGTCTCATAAGCTTGTCCACGTGTGTACACAGACAGACACAGAGAGAGACACTATCTACTACATAGTCATAGGTATAATTTCTCTGATCTGTTTGAGTACCCTTTACCCCTAAATACAAAATATTTTCTCCCTAAGAGCTCTGTATTTTTCCTTAGGATAGAACATTCTCTTATAAAATCCACAGCTCCGTTTATTAACTTGTGTCAATTTAACATTTACACAATACTTTTGACTAATCCTCTGCTCATATTCCAGTTTTGCCTGTTCAGCCAACAATGTGCTTTCTAACATCCCTCAGCTACTCACCCCTGAGAAACAGGAGCCAGACCAGGCTCAGATGTTACACTGGCTTTTAGTGGACAAGTCTCTTTAGTTTCCCTTAACCTGAGTCATTCTCCATAGTATGTCTTTGTCTTTTGAAGCATTGACCTTTTTGTTAAGAATATAGCTGTTCCCCTCCCCTGGTTTTTCAACACGAACCTTCCTCATTTGGATCCGTCTGATGCGTCCACAGGATTTGGTTCAGGTTCTGGGTTTTTGGCAGAATACTACAAGGGCAACTGTGTCTTTCTCAGGATATCACTCCCAGGGACACGTGACGTCCCTCTGCCCCTCGCCACTGTGTCACCCCATTTCTCCATCATGTATTACATACAGACTGCACACACACGCACGTATGTCAACACAGGTGCGCGTATCCGTGCACACACACATGTGTATTTTATAAATCCTAAATTCAGACAGACACGTTGGATCTAAACTAGCCCCACCAGTCCTCACTTATTAAATCCCGCAGTATATCTGTCAGAGCTTCTGAACTGTTTTCACCCGCACTTCCATAACAAATGAACCTACTAAAAGAGTTCAAAATTTCTTTGCAAATTTCCCTCCACTCTTTGTCATCCAAGAATGAGGTGCAGGGCTACACGCTGTGTGCACGAACTGTCTGGATTCATTCTTCTTTTCTCTCTTCAGTGCAGTTACAGTATTCGTTTGAAATGCAATTGAGTTCAATTATCTCAATTCGCTTTCTGTTCTTAACGATTTTTAAATATGTATAATATTAACATGCTTCCAAAAGTTAAAACTACCCAAAGGTACTAAAAGATGCGTCCCTTCCTCCGGTCCCCTGTACACCCATCCCCACGCCCCACACCGCCTCCTGGGGAATCAACTTCACTGTTTTCAGCTTGGGCCTTTCCAAGTTTTTCTGTAAGGATAAGCAGTTACACATATGTAGGGGTTTTTTATTTCCTCTTCCTTGAAAAATAGTTTGTTTTTCGACATAGGGCCTCATTCTGTCAGCCAGGCTAGAATGCAATGGCATCATCATAGCTAACTGAAAACTCAGTTTTCTGGGCTCATAGGATCCTCCCAAATAGCTGGGACTAAAGTCACACGCCACTATGCCTGGCTTATATTTTTATTTTTTGTAAAGACAAGAATGTCACTGTTCTGCCCAGGTTGGTCTCAGACTCCTGGCCTCAAGTGATCCTCACACCTCGGCCTCCCAAAGTGCGGGAAGTGCAAGTATGAACCAGCCTACATTCCCTTCCTTCTTACACAAAAGGCAGCACACTAAGCACACTCTTGCACACTCTTGGCATGCATGCTTCCTGAAAGCCAGTCTGGCTCAGGTCACAGCAGCTGGCCACGTTCTTTTTCACAGCTGTGTTGTACTCCCCCTGGGTGCTGCCACCACGGTGTAGTCACCTTCTTCTGTGCTTGGAGTCCTGCCTTCCTTATCTAAACACAAAATCATTTCAAACTCTATGAATTGGCTTGTAGAACATTGTTAAAAACGTTCTTACATTCACAGATCATTTTAGAAGCTTCTAATGGAAAACTTCAAAGATGACAAAACCCAAAAATGAAATGGCAAGAATGAATTATTTCTCGGGAATACTTTATTTCTACAGAAACAAATGTCATGTGTGTATTTAACTCCCCCAGCCTTCTCACATCTACTCTGTTTTCCAGCAGACTGTATTTAACAAGTTTTATGTGACTACCTCCTGTTCACTGCTTTGCAGTGTCCCCACTAACTTCAAAAGCACCCTACACATCTATATAGACACACTCACACAATGCAGAGAGAACACAGAGGAGAAGCAGAAACCACCGGGAGAGGAGAGTAATAACGCCAAAAGGAAATTAAAGAAGATGCAGAAACTAAAAGAATTTGTTTTTATGTTTTAACAAAACTGAAAGACACAAAATTGGGAATGGGGAGGAAACAGAGTATTAGGCTGAGCAGAAAATACCTTCTTATCACACACGAATGATAAATTTGAGACACAGGCATTCACAGCCAGGAGTTAAGACGATCAATGTTACTCTTGTCAACATTTCAAAATGGCTTCTCAACGGAACATTTGGGATCTTTCTGTAATGTTGAAAATAATACTATAGGGCTGAAACAGACACAGTATTCCTCGGAGGATTTCAAATAAAAAATAACACGTTCATTTTAGCAATCTGAACGGCAACATTTAGCGAGAAATATCACTGCCTTTCATCAGTCTCTCTTCTCTGTTCAATGGTTTATTCATGACATGACAGATTTAAATTTTTTTCCTTTCTAAAAATCTTATACTTCATGAACATAACTGATGGCTGTGCTTGTAACATTATATTTTATGATGAGAAAAAGTGAACTAGAATCACACACTTAAAGCAAATAATAAGCCCATTAAATTCAGTCATAAACAATCATAAGGTTCACAGGCCTAGAAAAAATTTTTTACAGATAAATAAACACAAGCCCAGAAAGGGGAAGAGATTTTCCCAAGGTTAAACAACCACTTTAGTAGCAGGGTACAACTAAGGACTGAGCCTTGGAGAGCCTGCCAACTGTTCCACAGAAGAGGACAGAGGTGGCCACAAGACAGACAGAACCAAACCTGGCTGGAGGCCACAGGAGGCTTCAAGGACATCCCCAAAGAAGGGCTGTGTCCTCTCAGGTACAGAAGTTAAGGTGTTTTGCTTTGACATTTTCTTTCCCCAAAACAGTCACAAAGCAATATTTTCTAGTATGAAATTGATTGATTTTGTCACTAATGATGGAGAAAAAGCATTATTCAATATTCCATACCTCTTGGCAAAAGTAGGTGCAAATTATGTAGTATTATTTAATATACTTGTAAAATGAATCATAGCACAAGGGGAAAAAAACCACCATACCTAGAGAAACTACAGACAAGCTACTGGCAAAATTCCTCCGTGAACAAAACACTTAAGAAAGATCATTATTACGTGTATATCAACAGATCTTTGCTGTGTGGATAAACACAGCCACAGATGTGCAGAGTGAACAGCTCTCAGACACTCAGTGGAGGATGTGAGATGTTCTGGGCACCTACCTCCATACTGAGCACCCCACTACAAGAGCAGAGAGATGACTTTGTAATGACTATGTAGTGAGCCACTGTGGACTGGGGCAGGTGGGCTGCCATCAGCACTGCAGAGATTAGCTTGACATGTGTCACAGAAGAATGGGGATGTGCTAAGTGCAAGATTTCATCTGAATGCCCACAG